GGCTCTCATGCCAAAGTCGCACAAATACACATCTATGGTCAGGGCGCTTTCCGTTGGCCTTCCAACCACCTGAATATCCTTGGCCTGACAATCGGAATGTCAATGGTCACAGCCAACTAGGAGCGTGCTCTATTCGCCTAGGTCCTCATCCAAGGACGCCAGAGAGGTGGTCCGACGGCCATGGCGGGCAACACCAAAGGGAAACGTGACCGGCACAGACACGGTATAGGTGGCTAGCCTCAACGAAAATTTAACTGGCAGACGGCGTTGTATGGAACTACAACCGTCGCCCAAATTTCAACTTTGAGATCTCCACCATCACTACTAAGTCAATGCGTGGTGTGAGCAAAAGTCCATCCGTCGCCCGATCGAAGCTAGAACTTCTCATATTCTTTGAATGCCGCCCTTTGACCGTTAGCATTCCACTCGTGGGAAAGCCAATGCTTTTACTGCCTGTCAAAAAGGAAGCAGAAGACGGAGGGAAGGTGACGGCACGTATCGAGGTGCGGCCAAGTCAACGCTACTATTGTTTCTCAACGTATGCATTCTTTTTCTTGGATTTGATACTCGTGCGTATGCACGAAGGACTTTTGTGCATCCGACTAACGCTTCAAGTCTGCAAGTACGTTATTCGGAATATCATGGGACCATACCCACTATATGCAACTTGGTCCAAGGAGCCGAATCTACACCTTCTCGCTACCACAAGGGCATTCGGACGATGCATGGTGGATGAGAAATTGGTGCTGAGACGTGAGCATCCGGAGAACACCTCTTGCCAAAGATGGCCGGCCAGGAGTCTAAGCGGTGTTTTTGTTCAGGTCTGGAACTAACAATGAGTCTCGTAGGCCATGTCAGGACGTCCCGGGTTGAAATTGATTAATTCATTACCACCTCACCACGAAGAAAGCTCCTAGGCATTCTTGACTATACTGGATGTTCAACCATCCGGATTAGGAACCCGTTAGTATCGAGATGCGGGATTGCCTGCTGGCCAGTCCATGAACAATTTCGTGCAGTAGTTCGGTATTGCAGAGCATGGTGCGGAGCTCAAACCCGAGTCTTGACGTCTAAGACGAGAATGGCTGTCGTACGGACTGTCATTATCGCCAGCCCATCAGGCTGTGCCCTTTTCTCCATCGTTTTGTGTACTGGTGATATTTCGCGGGCCGCGGTGTAACAGGATGCTGGTACGATGCAGAAACGATGACGACTGCATTTGGCGAAGCGAAGGGCCCGGCCCTGGTCGGCTCTCTTTTACGTCCGCAAGGGAGAACGCCTGTTGCGGTGTTACCTGAGAAACCGCCAGAGGAGAGCTGGCTGCCCTTTCCAAGGTTGCACGATAACACGCACCGCTGGCGAACATCGTCGACCTTGATGAGAGTCTGTCTATCCGAGCCTACTTGAGCAACGAGAGGCAATCGACCCAAATTTCCTTCTTCTGCAGCATGGGTTGGCAAAATATGTTCCTTGTAGCAGAAGTCTCTCGTTTTACGGCTCGTATTGCCCAGCTGTGATACAGCATTCGATAGTCTTGATCACACCACTTGGAGGCGAGGCCATTTATCGATAGCGTGCTTGTGGTCCACATGACCATTTGCCTGCTTACAAGGTCAACAAGCGCCCGAGATGAAAACCTTGAGACCCCCCCCCCCCCCAAGTGTCACACAAAGAACTCATGGGACCAGGGTTCGTGCATTATCTTCAGTCGCGAGCTGTGGCAGAGGCGCTTGATCAGTGACAATCCCTTCGGCCGGGTCGCAGAGAAGGATCACACTCGGGATTGCCAAGACGCATTGTCGGCGACAAACTGCTACTGGACCGTAATGTGCTGTGCCCAGAACGATGATGCTCGCCGGATACGATCGAGTGAGCGGATGCGAGGGCGGTGCATCTGGTCGCCGAGGCGGGCGCGCGTGAAGCCAGCCATGAATGGGCAGTACAGACCCAGGGCCTCGAGGATGCATGCAGACTCCATATACGCCCCCGACATTGGCGCGGAAGCGACGGCACACAACGAGGCAAACCGGACAAGGCGGATCAATCTACAAAAAAAATTGAAATCAAATGAAGTAAAATAAAATAAAATAACATAGAGCCGCGGCAAGGCCAATCTCGTTTGGTGATAGTGGTCGGCCTGGGAGTGTCGATGCGGATAAGACGACAAATAGCCTCCTTTCAAGGCTGGGCTTCGCTCCACCTTGTCCCCTGCGAATGCAGCATGCGGTCGGTCTGACTGTCTCAGTTGAGGGATTTGAGGGCATTTCTCGTGTCAGTGACGGAAGCACGACGAATCGCAATCTTGTCCCCCTTTCTTGGAGCCGAGTCGGCCGCAGCCGACCCGGTTCTGTGCTGCAAGTGGAAGCGTATCTGTTCCCCTTCGGTGGCACGGCAAAACATGTGCGGTACACGCGCGCGCGCGCGTCGTCCTCGGGCGTGTATCCCACGGCGAGGCTCATACGCATGTTTGAGACAGGAGACATGGGGTAGATGACGCCGAAAACTGGGGTCAGCAGCTACGAGAGAGAGAGAGAGAGAACGGAAATGCGGGCCTCGACCCAGATCCCCCGCAGGACGGCAAGGGGTTCAAGAAAGGGAGAAGCGTGGCTTGGTACGACTGCGTAGATATGGGTCGAAAAAGACAAGAAAGTTTCTGAAGGGGGGGGAGTCGTGCCCGAAAGGAAGCTCTCTCTGCCTTGGTTGATGGGGAGAGGTTTAATTATGATATTCCGTGGTTCTGTTCATATAGAAACTTAACCTTATTTATTGTGCGGAGTATTGGGCATGATGCTGATAACGTGGTTTTTTCTTCTTCTTTTTCACTTCTTTTCTTTTCTTCGACTGTGCCACTGTCATCGTGTACCTTGTGCGACCCTTGAGAGGGGGGCCGCCTTGATAAACGGACCTTGGTTTCTGAAGGGGGCTAACAATCCATGACATAGGTATTCAGAATCGCCGAACCGCTCCCCCCTCATGCGGGAGAGTAGACATGGGGTATGCGGGGAGGGGGGTGTATATTGGCTGGAACGGGTCATGTACGTACGTACTCACGTTGGATGATAACTGAGTTTATGGAGATTCTCGCCTTGCTCAACAAGGGCCCATCTTCGTGATACGAATGACGATGTTGTCTTTTTTTTGGAGTGTCGGGCGGAGGGACTCTGCTTGGACGACGTCTTCCCAGCCCCCGATCTGCTTGAACCCAATGCGTTTCCCTTTTCCAGATTGGGTTTCCGGCGCTGTGATGTGTGCCAAATCCCCCATTCTCCAGACTGTGCAGGTCCTCTTCCCGTGACAATGGGCGTCATCATGGACCCGGCCGCACGTGTGGAGACGGGTCCCCTGAGTCATGTATTTAGATTCCTCCTTTTCCCTTCCTTCTGTAGGAGACTTGCCGGGTACCTTTTCTTCATATGTGAAGAGGGAGGAGGAGGACGGGGCGGAGGTGGTTAACCGCGTTCGTATCGAACGGCATCGAGGTGGGCACGGAATACGGGGCCATCGCAGACGGCCCGGGTTCCATGTGGGGCCAAGTGCCCTGCCCTGCCGCGCGGGTATCGCAGGTCGAGTCGGGGGCCCTTCCTTGCATACGCGAACGGGATACCGGCAGCTGCTGGGCCTTGCGGTAATCGCCGTATTCGGGTGCCAGCCCATCCATCGCAATTGAACAGCCCGCTTGACGACCCAATACCGGGAGAGGAAGAAGAAGAAGAAAAAAAGTGCCGCAGAATCACATGGATGAAGTGGTACTCCCCCTCCCACCCTCTCCCCGAAGATGAGGCTGACGCGAAAGGCCGGACATACGTCAATGGCGGAGGACAACGGATAAGGTAGAGAGAGAAGGAGACACACACACCACCCCCACCTTCCCCAGGTGAGGGAAGCGGAAACAGCCGCTCATATCGAGCCCCTCCCCCCCAAAACGTTTAAGTTTCCCAGGCAAGGGGCAGGCAAGCGGGTGACGATCACAAGGACAAGGGGGGAGGGGGGTGGATGGATGGATGGACCCTTTGGTTCCGAACACGAGAAGACGGGTTGTCAAAGGGGGCGATGCCAGAAGGAGTATGTTTGCTTTCTACAGATGCGGAGCCCCTGATGGGGGGGAACAAGGAATGAGGAGAGGGGCGGTTATGCATGGTGGTGTGGTGGACTGATTGTGCTATTAAGCGGTAGAGTTCGCGCTTCACGTTTTGCCTGGTCACTTATAATAAAGGGGGGAAGCAGGTGAGGATTATACGCGCACCTCGTGCACGTGATGTGCTCGTGGCTACCCGGTCCGCCCAAGTCGGGATTTGGAAGGTGGAAGTTGGGTTAGGTGCGGAGTAGCAGCCCACCAAGAGACTAGACGCCAGCTTGATGAGACAGGCCGTCAAGAGTCTTTTTGACTTGGGACGAAGAAATGCGGAATCGGATGCAAAGGGAGGGTGTGGGTCTTGAGATGATTTTCCATGTTCCGGCGGGGTCCGGACTCGCTGCATTCAACACCAACAGAGCCTCGGCGAAAGGGATTGGGGAAGTGCGGTAATTTTGACTTTGTGTATCGTAAACTCAAAGTACTACTATCTTATAATTGGTACGGCGAAAGCGTACATTCTATGGACCGTTTCCAAATACAAAACACTGAAACACCGAAAGCCATGGTTGGTTTGTTATAATGAAGGACAAAAAGCAGATCGTGACAAATAAGGAAATATAGAGACCATTATGAGACAGTTACGCCCCTCATGTGAGTAAAATCCTCCTCCAGCCTTCACCCCCCCAGACCATCGACGTAGGAGTAAGGAATGATTCGTAGTTGTACGGCGTCGAACTTGTGTAGGGAGCGGATATCAAATGTTAAGACAGGAAAAAGAAAAGATGATGACAAGAAAGAAAATAGATAATGTAAGGAAAAAGATAAAGCCAGTCTCATATCATGCTCGCATGTCATGTAATGTCCTGTGTGTCCCCTTCTATACCCTGCAATGCGTGTGTGCTCATATGCCCCGCTGTGAGGTTTTTTACTCGCAAACCGCTTCACGAATGAACTGTCCAAGTTGTTTGGCCTGGATTGGATTGTTAGTATTTGGAGGAAATGGTAAAAGTCGTAGAACACTTACATAATCGCCATGCATCATGGAGAAGTGGTTGCCAGGCATGTGCCTGGTCCTGAACTTATTGATGTCCAGGTACTCGTCCCAGCGGTTAGGGCCGAAGTCGGTCCTGTTGTCCAGGAGGAAGAGCGCGTGTCCCGTGGGGTACGGGTCGGGGCGAGGGTCGGAAGGAAGGTGGCAGACGCCGTCCTCGCACCAGATGGCCATGACATTGGGGCACTTCTCCTTGGGGATGGGCTCCGCAGTGTAGTTGCTGAGGGCAGTGACACTGGCAGCGAAGTGGGGGAGAAGCCAAGAAGGAATCTTCTTGGCATCATCGTCTCCCTCGCCGAGAAGGCCGATGGAGGCGAACCAGGCGTGGAGGCTCTTGGGGAGGGGCTCGATGGTGATGGGGCAAGGAGCGTCGATGATGATGAGGTTCTCAACACTCTCGCCAGCCTTGGTAAGCTGATTGACGATCTCGTAGGCGATGACACCTCCCGCGGACCAACCAGCCAGGGAGTAGGGGCCTTTCGGCTGTCTGGCCTTCATGGCCTCGATGAACTTGGTAGCCATCCCGTAGACACCGCACTTGTACTCGTCGGGAGTCTTCATGAAGGGGGAGAAGAGACCCCAGACAGCCCACTGGCTGGAGATCTGGCTGATTTCGGTGTAAGAAGTAGCGCAACCGCTGCCGTCAGGAACCATCCACAGATTCTTAGTAGCAGTGCGAGTGCTACCCTGAAGGAGGATTGAGGTGGCCTTGCGGTGAGGGTAGTTGTCAACAATCTCCCTGGGAGGGGGCGGCTTGGTGATGGAGGCGGTGGTGTTGCCAGGGTGGGTGTTGATCTCACGAGTTGGCTCAACCTTCTCGCGGCGGGGGGCCGATGCAACTTTCGCAGGCTTGGCGGCGGGCGCAGGCTTGGGCTTTGGGCCAATGCCCAGGGCCTTCTCGACTTCCAACAGGGATGGGTTGGTGACAAAGAGGTCGCTGGGAATATCCATGCCCGACTTCTCGCGAAGAGTGCCCAGGATGGAGAGACTCATGAGGGAGTCCATGCCCAGAGCAGCCAGGTCAGGAGCAGCGACAATCTCATCAACCTCGACACCCATCTCCGTGGCGATGGTCTCACGAAGAACGCTTTGGAGGTCACAGCCTTCCTCGTCCGCGTCGCCCTTGACCGAACGGTCACTTTCCTCGTATGGAGTGGTGACGTTGGAGTCGGACTCAAGCTCGGGGGTCTCAGAAACAGAGGCACTGGAATCACCAGAGTCCTGGACGTAGCTGTCCTTGCCTCCAGCTGTCTCGAACTGGCTAAGGAAAACCTTGAAGGCGCCGATAGTCGGGTACTCGACAAAGGCATGGGAGTCGATGTCGATGTCAAGCTCCTCGCGCATCCTGCCGGAGACAGTCAGAGCCATCAAGGAGTCACAGCCCAGATCAGTGAAGGCAATGTTGTCGGCAAGCTCGTCCTGGGTAACACCAACCTCCTTGGCCAGGATGTCGAACACGTCCTGGACAACAGAGCGCTTGGCAAGCTTGGCGTTGACAGCCTTGAGGTTGCTAGCGGTGACTTGCTTGCTGACCTTCTCCTTGCCACTCTTCTCCTTGGCAGGAGCCGCCTTGGAGGGAGCGGCAGCCTTGGGAGCAGGAGCAGCAGATGTGGCGCCGGCGGCAGCACGTCCACGAGGGGGAAGAACCATGTTGAGGACCTTGCGGGGGATGGACTGGAACTTGACGTCGCCAGCAACACCGACGATGCGGTCACCGTCAAAGACGTAAGCATCACCGGCCATCATCTTGGTACCCTTGACGGGCTGCATGCGGACGTAGGAGCGGTAAGTCTTGGAGGCGTCAAGCTTCTCAGTGAATCTCAAAGAGCCCCAGCCGTGGGAGATGAAGACTTGCTCGCGAGAGTCAATGGCATCGGTACCGTTGATGATGAAGCCAGAGATATGGCAGCAGCTGTCGATCCAGTAGGGGTTGAAGAAGAAGTTACCATCCTTGTCCGTGGTCTGGAAGCTAACCTTGGCAGTGGCCTCGCAGGCCTTGCTGTCCAAGATAACTTCTTCCATACCCTGGTACTTGGTGTCGTAGTCGACCAGAGCAGTGAAGAGCTTGTAGGTCAAGCCGCGACCAATCTTGGAAGCCTTGCCCTGTCTCTCGGCCTCCTCCAGAGCGTCGATGCGGCCCTTGATAAGGTAGCTGACGCGTTCGAACTCGTCAGCCCACTGCTCAGTGCTGCCGTAAACGACCTTGCAGTGTGCATGCTCAGTCTTCTTGGAACCCTCGCCAGTGTGGAAGCTGACATCAGCATAGCCCAAGGCAGCGTTGGCGGTGACGGTGGTGCGGAGAATATGAGCATCAAGCTTATCATCGAAGATGAGCGTCTTGGGTACCTCCACGTTGGCAACGTTCAGACCAACGGGCTCGGCGTCAGGGCGGAGCATCTTGTATGCGTAGTCGGCAACAGTCATGGCCATGTCGGCGTACAAGGTGGACGGGCAGAGGGGAGCGCCGTTGCACAAGTGACCCTCGACGAGAGGACGGGTGTCGGGACGCGAAAGGTTGGTTTCGGTCTCGACGAGAGCAATGTCCCCATTGACATCCTCGTTGGTGACTCCATGAATGGAAGTGGTGCACAGCTTGGGTCTGGCAGGCTCGATCTGGAGAGGGGCCTTGACCGCCGAAGGGCCACGGTTCTTGGTGAGGCACCAGTCGCCGGTGTATTGAAGCCAGTAGTTCTTCTCGTCAAAGGAGTAGGTCGGGAGGTCAAGAAGACGAGTGCACTCGGTAAAGTCGCGGTGAAACTCGTCCCAGTCAAGGTTGATGCCAGCAGTGTGGAGAGCACACAGGGTGTTGCTCAGCACCTTGTAGGTAGACTCGTTGCGGCGCAAAGTGGGAACAGCAACAGAGCTGATGCCAAAAGAAGACTTGACAAAGTTGGCCAGGACGGGGTGGGGACCGACCTCAAGCCAGACGGTCTTCTCATCGACGGCGCCGGACTGCTGGGCGTGGACGAGGCCACCAAGGATGTTGACCGCATCCCGGGCGTGGTTACGGAGGTATGCAGCGTTGATTGGCTCGCTCTCGAGCATCTTGCCAAGAAGTGGCGAGATGATGGGAACCTGCGGCCTCTCGAAGCTCACAGAACGAGCGAGAGTCTCGAAGTCATCCAAGATGGGATCGACCTGGGCAGAGTGGAAGGCAAAAGGCACCTTGAGCTGGGTGCACTTGAAGCCGGCAGTGCCGAGGTGAGACGAGATGTCACTGATCTTAGCAGCCGCGCCACTGAGAACGGTCTCACGGGGGCCGTTGATGCAGGCGACGTTGACATGCTCGGACTGGGCGCCGAGTGCCTCCATGACGGCATCGACGGGGCCGGTGACAGCCAGCATAGCGTGAGTGCCGGCGGTGCACTTCTCGACAAGAAGCTTGGCGCGGGCCCCGACGAGATAGATGGTGTCGCTGGCAGAGAGAACACCAGCGGCGTTGAGAGCAGCGTATTCGCCCAGAGAGTGACCCATGACGGCGCTGGGTTTGATGCCCCAAGAGGACCAGAGGCGGGCAAGGGCCATCTCGAAGCAGCACAAGCCAAGCTGCACCACGACAGGGGAGAACTTGGTCACATCAGACTCGCTGCCATCGATGAGGGGCAGGAAGCTGGGGAAGCCATGGATCTGGGCGAGCTGGTTGAACTCGTTGATGTTCTCCCGGAAGACGGTGTAATGCGCGTAAAGGTCCTTGCCAAGGCCGGCGTAGTGGGACCCCTGGCCAGTGAACATGAAGACGACCTTGGGCTGCTGGGTGGAGATAGGAGTGAAGTTCTCCTTGAGCCGGTCCTTGATGAGACGCTGCGCCTCAGGAAGATCAGAGGCGGCGACGTTCATGCGCCAGTAGTGCTGGATGCGACGGGCAGTCGTGGTGTACGCCAAGTGGGAGAGGGGCGTCTGGGGGTTCTGCTCCATCCAGCCGACAAGTCTCTCAGCGTTGCGGATCATGGCAGCCTTGGACTTGCCAGTGACAGTAACGACCTGGACGTTGCGAGGGTCCGTCTCGGAAGCCTTGACGTGGGGCGCATCCTCCAGCAGCAAACCTGTGTTGCCACCAGCAGCACTGAAATTGTTAACGAAGATACGTCTGGGCTTGCCATCTCTTCTCTTGAAGGGAGTGAGGTGGAAGGCGATGTTGACATTGCGCTCCGACAAATCCTTGGGGAAGGTCTTGTTTATCTCCTTCTTGATGCCCACGTGGGGAGGGATAGCATTCTTCTGCATCATCATCAACACCTTGGTCAGGGCAGTAACACCCGAAGCAGCCTCGCCGTGACCGACGTTGGACTTGACAGCGCCAAGGTACAGAGGACGATCGGCGGGTCTCTTGCGATCGGCAGGGGCGAAGACGTTGGTCACGGAGACCATCTCGGTACCATCGCCGGCCTGGGTACCAGTGCCGTGCATCTCGACGTAGTCGACGTCGAGAGGGTCAACACCCGCCTCATCGAGGATGTGCCTAGACAAGATGGACTGGGTGGGTCCGTGGGGGTGAGTGATGGAAATGGCATCGGCCGAGTGGTTGGTAGCAGTGCCCAAGATGACGGCGAGGACGTTATCCTTGTCGGCAATGGCGTCGTCGAGGCGCTTGACAATGACCGAAGCGCAGCCGTCAGCACGGCAGTAACCATCGGCTCCATTGTCGAAGGTAGCACAGGGACCAGTCTTGGACAAGAACTGGCCACGCGACAAACCGGCAAAAATGTCGGGGTTTGTCATGCAGGAGAGACCACCGACAATGGCGGTGTCACAGTCCTTTACCCACAGAGCGTTGCAGGCGACGTTCAATGCAGCGGCACTGGAGGAACATGCGGTGTCGATGTTCAAACTGGGGCCGCTGAAGCCGAAGTGGTAGTTGATGCGACCAGGGCCGAAAGCTCGCACACCACCAGTGATGTAGTAGGTGTCGACTTCTTGGGCAGCGTTGATTTCACGCCAATCGTCAGAAGTCTGGCCGTAGAAGGTACCGATACGGTCCAGCTTTGTAGAGGGCGTCCTGTTGGGGACATAGCCGCACATCTCCAACGCCTCGTAGGCGGTGGTCAAAGCCATACGCTGCATGGGATCGGTCTGGAAGGCCTCACGGGGAGACATGTTGAAGAACCTGGGATCGAAGTAGCCAGGGTTCTCGATCCAACATCCGTACTGAGAGTGACTCGTGTTGATGGCCTTGCCGGTGATGTCGTAGTGAGTGGCGACGGGGAAGCGATCGGGAGGAACGACCCTGTGAACGTCCAGGCCCTTGGAGAGCAACTCCCAGAGCTTCTCGTGGCTAGCGGCGTCGGGGAAGCGACCAGCCATCCCGACAATGGCCAACTTGCACTTTCCGCTGGAGCCATGGTTGCCAATGGGGGAGTTAATGCTCTCTCTCTGGATCTTAGGTCCGTGGCGAACTTGGACATTCAGCTTTGTGCGGTCCTGGATCAGCTTTGACAAAGTCTCGGCATTGTAGGTGGGACCAAAGGGGATGACAAGACAGGTCGATCCCTCGAAGTCGCGGGCGGTCTCAATGCATCCCTCAATTCCCTTCTGGAAGTGGAGAACGTCGACGAGGCACTCGTGCGCAACGGCCTTGAGGAGGGACTTGGTGTCGTCCTCGGCAAACCAGATTCCCTTGGTGCCGGACATGATGGCGGAGCGAGGCTTGCTCTTGGCGAAGACCTCGAGCACCTTGGGGTCATCGAGCCGAAGGATCTTCTCGATGTCGGCGGTGCCGTGCAGGTGAGCCGCGTGGTAAGGGCCGTAGACGGGGATTGCCGTAGGCTTGACGCCGAAGACATTTTGGTCCTCGAGCGCACGGAGGGTGGCAGGCGGTCCTGAGATCGCCAAGCTGGATGCCGACACAGCGCTAACGTATGCTTGGCTGGCGACGGGGATGTACTGCGGGGAGTGTCAGTTATGACTCTGGGCGAGGACCGAAAAATGCTCACATTAGATTCATGGAAAGTATTAAGTGCCTCTTTGGCGTTGGATTCCTTCAGGCCGGGAAGGATGTGTGTCCAGGGCTCAGATTGACCGACCGGCGGGCTGAGCCTCTCGGCCAGCGAACCGACGTGGGTTCCGGTTCGGAAGGCCATGAGGACTACCTGAACGGCAACAGGGATCAAGGTAGAGACTGATGGGGTCGAGGCAATAGCGGCTGCGGCAAACAGCCCCGTGCAGAGACCCATGAAGAATGTGTGATCGTGAGGAGCGTCATCTTGAGGCTCCTTCTCGGTGCGGCTGCCAAGCTGTCAGTCAACGAACGGGGAGGTTTCAGGACCCGGATGGCGACGGGGAGAACGTACTCGATGTAGTGAGCCAGCTGGGTGATGCAGAGCAGGGCGCTGTCGATGCCCGGGTGCTTGATGCCCTGGGCGTGGTATCGCTCGTTGAGTTGGCGGAGTGACTGGAAGTTGGGGAGTTTCGACCGTTCCAGCTTCCCCAAACCATCGACCTCCTCCCTCAACGCCTGGCCAGCCTGGTCGAGGAACTCCTTCGCAAGGGTGCTGGGATTCCCTGAACGGCAGAACTCGGCGAGAAATCCATGGGTATCAAGCGACTGATCTCCGAAGAGGAGATAAGACATCATATCGGCCATCTTGAAGGATCGTCGACATAGATTTCTTAGGTTGATGAGGTTCCCGGTGCTGTGGTAAGAAGATGAATCCTGGATGGTGGGAGCGAGTCTTGAACTTATACGATTGAGATGAGCTTGACACAGGACAGGGAAAGGGTGTACAGGCCAGGCTCACAACGGGCCATTTCCCGAATTACTCAACGCAGCTGTCAATGTCATGGCTGATGGATAGCGGAATTGCAACATGGAACACATCCCGGATGGAGGGGGGTGGGTGGGCTGAAAGGGGGTGCGCGGAAAACGTCCCATGTAGCCACACGCCCACAACACACCTTCCCTTCCTTCTCACTTGGCTCATCCTTTTCTCGCCCGGATGGCTAGCGTGAGTCCGGCCCTGAGAGCTCTCGGTGACCGAAGGTCATGGGTGATTATCAGTGTCTTGCCGCATTGTTCGAGACCCATTGGTTCAGGGCAGACGATCGAGGCCGCCACACGGGCTTTCTTGGGCCAACCCACCTATGCTGACTTGAGAGAACGGGCAGGCGGACAGACAGGAGGGAATACAGGAATAGGTCGCGGCGTAAAAAGTCGAACGGATCTCAAGCAAGGTTGAGCATGCGCGGGCGCGGGCGCGCTCGTTGCGCCGATTTTCCTCGCCCTCGATCCCACAGGCCCAAGATGACACGGCAGTGCGAGAGATATTGGGGGGGGGCCATACGGTGTATCGTGTACCCATGTATTGGGGCTTTCTGACAGTAGTCTTCTTAAACCTTGGGTGGAAACTCGCAGCAGGCAGGCTTGCACATGGTTACGTCAAGGCCGTCAGAGACAGACATGACGCAACAGCACCGGCATTCTCCAGGAGCAGCTACCCAGAATATACGGAACGACTGTCTGTTCAAGGTGTGTCAGCACCGATCCGCGGGGAGTTTCGAAGAACCCATTAGGGCAGTCGCAGGGAAGGAGGTTCCGATCTGTGATGCATTGGTAGGCAGGAAGTGATCGATAGTTGTGAAACGGGTTTGAGATGGTGACCTACGAAGACTACCTGGTGGTTTCCTCGTTAGGCGGTCTTGAGGATCCTCGAGAGGTCAACCTCGTCGGGTTTGCACAACGACCCGCACCCAGAGGGCTAAAGAAGGCAAGCGGAGCATGGATGCGAAACAATAGCCACGCAGCTCAGCACCTTTCCTCAGTGCGCAGCAGCAGGAGGAAGAGCCTGGTGAAACCCCGTAATACGAGGGCGGACAGATTGTAGGTAGGTAGGTGGTGAAGAGCCTCACACAGGCGTCGACAGGGATTCTCCACAACGGAGGGTCATGGCATCAGGCGAATCGGGACACAAGCCTGTCGGGTTCCTGGCGACGGGTAATCAGCGGAGGAAGAAACAGACAGGGTGGAAGGGCGTTTGGCTATGGTTTGCAGTTGTGGGGGGTGTGGACGATGGGCGACCCTTTGTCCGACGGACATCCCCAAGGACATTGCCAAAGCGAGACGCACCCAGAGATAGAAAAAGACACCGACACGCCCTAAGACACACGCCCCCTCCTTTTCGAGGGGGAAGGCCCTAGAACCAATGGTCGATAATGATTAGTGTATGGCGTTGGAAAAACAAAAAAGGATTGGAAGGATTTAAAATGCTGTTGCTGACGGGCGGCGGTGGATTGATTGCCCAGCGACGGTATCCAGATCCATTATTTTCGGAGGTCAAGATGGCAGCGGAGACAGAAGGCGGCTGAAGAGGAGGTTGCCAAGGTGGATTCCCGGAGGATGGAGGAAAAAAAAAAACAAAGGATGGAGGAAGGTACTCGGACATGGCGGCGGGGGGACGGACGAAAGTGGGCTGCGGGCCCACGACTGTGGCTCTCTTGCTGCCCACCTCACCCCAGCTAACCTCACCCACAAACCATCATTCATCCGTGCCGGCTGCGTTGTTCTTGGCACGGCGACACGGGACGTCTTCCAGCTTTGTCGCTGTCGTCTCCCCTTTTGTTGAGAATGGACATGTCGAACAGCGTGGCAGAGGGAAAGCATCAGTATCTCTGTCATCCAGCCTACATTACTATTGCACCGGGCATTGCATCTCCAATGCCGCGAGAACAAGGTACGTACCGGTTCGACCGAAGAGGGTGTTGTCGTCAATTCGCATTGCTTCTCAGATACCAGTCCTTTTCCCGTCGCCGCCGCGAGTACGTACTGTCTGCTCCCTCTTGTAATGGACTTGATGTACGCAGCAAGGTTACCTATCTAAGTACCTAGAAAGGCAGCGTGTCTGCACGTGTATAGACACGTACCTAGGTAGGTACCTATCGAGGTACCTAGTTAGCTTCGTCAAACCAGGTTCGTACCTGTCTCTGTCTCATCGAGGCACAGGTCGGGGAACCATACTCGGCAGTCACTCGGGAGGATGCTTCTTCTCATCTCAGCCTGCGACATCGATATCTCGAGTTTTTCATTTGCAGTTGTCAAGTAAAGCAAAGCAAAGCAAAACAAAGCAAAGCATAAACTTTCCGTCCTCAAGCGTATGCACCTTAATCTTCCGAAAACCGATGCAGGCCCGGGTGATGAGCGCACACACTGACTCTGGCTTGGAAAAAGCAAACGGTTCGTGCTCCTTTTGCGCTCCACACATCGTTACCTTGTGTTGGTTAGTACGCTGTACACACTAGGTAGGTAGGTAGGTAGGTAGTCTATGTGGGAAGGCACCTACCGCCGGAGAAAAAGGTCAGAGAGAAGGGAAGGTGCGCTGCTGACCCGGCGCAGTGTGGCCCTGCGGTTCGGGCCATGGATGTTCCGTCAAGACCCCTTTTCCTTTCTCGTCGTCGACTGTTGTTTTCGGTCGGCAGATACGGATACTACGTAGTATGACGAAGAAACAGTCAAACGCAAGTTCGCAAGGCACTCATCTCTCCTTTCTTTGGTCAACTACCTACCTACCTACCTAGGTGCGTAGGGCCTGTGTCAGCTAGAAAACGCCCGCCGCAGTACGTGCCCCCCTCTCCCTGACTATGCCCTTTTCGGCAAGGCGGGGAGGCAAGGGGCCCCGGTTCGATTCGTTCCTTCCCAGGTACGCTTATTTCTGTACTCTGGGGCTACCCTCGATAAGAACCGCCTTGGATACGTACCTGGCCCGGTACCTAGTCGAATGGGAGGGGGGAGGGGGTTGCAGATCGAATCGTTCAGTTCCCCTGTCTCCTGCCCCTCTTTGCCACGCCGTCAGATACCATACCGTCGACCATCCCACGAGCATTTCACTCGCCCGCTAAGATTGACCTACATTTTGGCCCCGAGGTACGGTCAGAACTCGCCGCGCTCCATGGTGCTTGATGCCAGCTCTGCTCCCTCTCCACGAAAAGCCCCGACAGCCATGGCAGCAGGAGCAAAGCTCAGAACAGACGCCTCTTTTCCTCGCCACCCCTGTCAATCTCGTTTCCGTGGAAAGCAAAGCATTTGATTACCAAGACTGAGGCCGCTAGCAAGCCACCTGGGACCTGCGCAGGTACCGCACGCCCCGATGGATGAAGTCCATCTCGCTCGTCCGATAAAGCAGATATGCAGGTCGGAAACACCCAATTAGCACAGAGAATGTCCACTCACGTTCGCCGACTCGGTACACACGTACACGCTCAAGCTCTCGCTCGCGCACACCGCCTCTGCGGGCTGCCTTTACTTCTCACTTGGACCCTTTGCTCAGCTCAGCTGAGATCTGAATGAGCTTTTCTTGAACACCTTAATCCAGAATTGAGATCTCAGCACTGACATCTTGCTGCTTTTCCAGAATAACCTGGAAGACGCAAACCGGATCCGACTCGACGGTCCGACGGCAAACGGCCTCAGCGGATAGCTCGAATAGTTTGCTCGCCTACGCTCGCCCATGCTTAAGCAAAGGACCAAGGTCGGCGCAAGCAACAGACATCAGGATCCGGAAACAGGCTGCGGCCTGCGTTTCTGGCGTATACGGCATGAATCAGCGCTGTGGTTGGACATGCAGTCCCATCCTCGCTCTCGCTTACAGCACAAGGTTTCGAAGCTTTGAGATGGCTCGGAAGATGCGACAACTTGAGTGCGTATCTCGTAGCGAAGCCTTTCCTTTCCTGCCTGTGTCGTCAGACCTTCTCTCTTCCCGCAATCATCGTCACGCGTCCCTTGACTAGCCCCTCAAATACAAAGTGGCTGTGGGGAAAGCGACAGGGAATATGGAGGTGGGAGGAGGGGGTGGGGGGTGCGTAGTCGTCGACTGTTCGACATCTTGAGAAAAATGGGCGTATGTCTAGTCGGCGCATACCGCACGCCTTGTCCAACATCAATTTTCGTGCATACCAGGACTACGGCGCGCAGACCTGGTCTGTTTATTCATCTCATGGTCCAGCGTCTATCCCGCGCGGCAATGGCCAGCCGGGAAAACGAGAGCTACTCTTGGTCGCAGCATCCCGCTGAAGCAGAATGAACCCCCGTGACGGACGGACGGTGAGCATACAAACAAGAGCCTCTGTGTGCTACCTTGCGCACCATTTCGAACCCATCAACCGGCGATACCACTGCGCAATTCTTCGAAGAGGACGCGGCAGGAGGATTAGAGAAGCATCTGATTGAGCGGCAACGCTCACCTGAATGTCGGCGATCGTGGACGGACGGGGTTAGTGCACAGAGCTGAGCCTACCCGGACTACCGCGCCCAGCCTCTTCAGGCCGTCTAGACGCAACGGCGGTCGGCGCACGTTGATTTACAAGGGCCCAGGGCGACTGCTGTCCTACGAAGGCCCGTATTTGGGATGGCTCACGATAAGCCCCTGCATTCAATTTGCCGGCTGCCTACGACTAGTTCCGAAGATCCTCATGTTACTGGGCGTTGCACGACGAGAGCCCGCGAGTCTGAGCGTCAATGACCCCAGCGGGGGCATAGGAAGACGGACGATTCTCGAACTCGAGAAGCAACAACCGAATTCATGGGCAGCAAACAAGCATATACCTACAAGGTTACTCTGCCGCCCGTACTCCTCCCTGTCATCTCCTGCGGCTCCC